TGTCCCGATCAATACTTATGTATTAGTCTGGATATTTGCCGAAGACTTGGTCACCTTACCCAGGAGCCTGTCAATTTATCAACCAGTTCTTGGCACATTCACCTCATCAACTCTTGTTATATGGAAACCTGGCTCTACCTTGCATTGTTTCACAGTCATTAAGAAGCTCGTCGTAACTCGCCCAAATTATTCGCGTTGTACATTGTAGAGTCTGCAAAATTATGTTTAATTTTATGTGAAAACTTTTAGCCATCTAAATGGAACCAATGTATCTTAAGAAATATTTCAGTAACTGTACACTGTTTTAAAAGAAATATGTTGCCAATCTTAACATTTTGATCTTGCCTGCAAATTGGCATTCCTCTTGTAACATGTTTGTTATTTAATATAAATTATTATTACTATCGTTGTTATTATTATTATTATTACTATTAACTGCTATCTTCCTAGTTGCTTCAATAACATGTTACGTCCAGTTTTTTGCTCGTTGATCTTACGAAGCACGGTTGTCGAGCTATTTGTAATTCACAGTCCCCAAATGTTTAAACCAAGAACGAAACTCCAAAGTAGATACCAAAGTTTATTCCAAATCACAAATTCGACCAAAATACTGTATTACAAATAGACGACCAATGTCATTCTAACAACAATAATTATAATAATTACAATTACCTTCTAATTTATTAGCTCTTGGAGCAAAAAACTGCCAACGAACAACAAAGAGAAACGGGAGTCCAAAATGTCCGCAAATAATAATTCAAACAAGTTCACAAGTTAAGTAAAACAAATGTACCCAAAAACAGTGAAATTAATGATATTTATACATGAAGGTTTTGATCAGCAAAATGTCTTCGTTTCTCCCGTAACAAACATACACATTTATTAACTCTCAAACAAAGAACTTAAGGACAAGTTACAGCATCCATTCAGAGGTAGAGCTGCCAATCCAGGTATCTCTCTGGTTCTGTTCTCAGGTGAAATCCATAGATTCACTTGGTTTTTTAACCATTATGCTCTTACACATTTTCCTCTTCAATTTGGCTCATGCTTTCTAAGATAGATTGAGCAATATGTGATAAGGTCGATGCCAATTCTTACATTATAAAAACTAGGAAAACCTGTCGAAACATAAATTCCGGGGATGATAATGACTCGAAAATACAGTCTTCAGTGACGGAATTTCGACAAAACTCAGAGTAGTGTGGATAGTTTGGATCAGTGGACACAAACACCTGCACTGGGTCTTCAACAAAGAAACCAGGATGACACTCCCTTTCAGATTCCTACTTCTAGTAGCTAAAATAATAACTTGGGAAAGTAGTATATTTAGACTTGAGTCACAAAGCCCAATGTTGAAAAAGAAAACGAAAATAATTATATTGCTTATCCATTGCCACTAGAAGCAGGCGACTCTGCGTTTCAATATCACTTCTGCTGTGCATTGGTTCATTATCTCTGCGACACTGCAGTACGTAGACTGTTCTATGAGTTCATGTTGAGTTACACCTGTCCGTGGTATTAATGTTTTTCCACAGTATAAAATTACTAGGCAAACAAAATTAACAACAACAAAGCGAAAGGGCCCACCTACAAACACCTACTAGTAAACCTGATTCGCCCAGAAAAAGATAGATCATTAAAGAGACAAAAGCAGCCGCAACCAGAGTAAGTATATCAATGAGGTCAATAGATTTTGTAAATACCCGAGCGGTAAGTGGGCGTAAGAAAGGGAATAGGCAACACTGTAGCGTTAGACCAAACTCACGAATTTTGTTGAATGTTCTAGTGTCGGAGAAAAGCTAACTACAAAGTAGGGCCGTCTTTGATACAGAAGAGTGGAGCAGGTACTCTGAAAAGCTTGGGATGGGCGGTATACAGGCCGAACTATGCCGTCTATTCAAAGGCTAGAGCGTCGTTTAAGGGAAACTAAAACCGCTAAATGTAACTTCCGATTCGGCACAAGTTGCCTAGGAAATTATCCCAACTTGTCAAAGGCAATCAGTTAAACTTCTTGAACAGAGTAACTCATTACAAACTGTAGTTAGTACGGCGAAGATCTTATTAACCTAGAAATGACTGAGACCTTGAACGCCAACTTTGTTGGTCAGTTAAGCCAGGTAAACACACGTTCAGAGTACTATTCAGACCTAGTGCCAACTAACGGCCTACGTAATATCCGACTTACTCTTGACTTAGTACTAATGAAACTAGAATCCTTACGCCCAGGAAAGTCACCAGGATATGACAATGTTTGCCTCATAGTCTTGAGAAAATGTGAAGAAGCACTCAGTTCACTGATATATGGCCTGTTCAGGCAGTCACTGGAGTCACACCAACTCCCAGCTGAATGAAAAAAAACTACTCTCTCTTCAATCTTCAAAGGAGGAGATAGTCTGAATCAAGCATGTTGCAGACCAGTCTCGTTACTGGCAACATTATTCAAGGTGATGGTAGGACTAATGAGTGAGCGAAAGGGAGATTACATGGATAAGAACAAGATCCTCCACAAAGTTCAGCACGGGTTTCGAAATGATAGGTCGTACGCATCCAATCTTCTCATAGTATGTGACAGCTATACATCTTGTTTAGATAATATTCCTTGACTTCGCAAAGATTTCGACTCAGTACCTTGTGTACTCCTGATTGCAAAGTTTGCTAAGATGGGCTTCACTGATCCATGCCAGTATGTCTTATAAACTACTCAGAAGACAGAAAGTTTCACAGCCATGGAAATAGGGTTCATACGAGCTAGTGAGTTTCAACATCAGGAGTGTCACAGATGACCATCTCGAGTCCATTTCTCTTCCTGATATTCAATGATGACGTTTTAAATGAATTCACCCAAGTGGCACTAATCTATGCAGACTATGTGAAGACCTAGAGGTTCATAAAAAGCCAAGAGGATTCAACCGATCTTCGAAATGACCTTACATCAACTGAGGAATGGGCAATGAACAACAGTTGAAACCGAAACCAGTTTAAATGTCAGGTTATAGCACATTCCACCTCACTTGACGCAAACAACTTACACCCCAAACGGAAGTGCGCTCCCGAATGTCTCTTCAGAGTGCGATTTAGCTCTAACAACCACAGAAAGCCTGGACACAACTATCATGGCAAACATAACTTTTCGCTTGATGCGAATACTTGTTGCGACCAATCCACAACTGTTTCTAACTATCTTCAACACATACGCACAGAAAAACCTTGAAATTCACAACGTCGCTACACCCCTTCTGATTAAAAGAGACATAAATCTCCAAATAGAGTGTATCGATTAGCAACTAGATGGGTGACAGCGTTAAATATTAAACCTCATGAAGAAAGACTGCAAGGCCTGGGACTATTCCCTCTGAGTTGAAGGAGAATCATAGGCCATTCTATTATGGCATACAACATATTGATCAGGCCTAATCATCCGAACACTAGCACCGTGCCAAAACATCACCTGCACGTCCTTCTAGATAACCCTCAAAAAATTGCAAACCAAAGCGTTAACACCCCACTTTTCTGAAGTGAGTTGTCCCAAGTTGGAACGTTCTTTTATCTGAAATGACCACAGCCTCTTCACTGGATCGCTTCAAGATAAAATGTGACGAACAACTACGAATTTTCCTTTCCCTCTTAATGAGCGAGTCAAGAAATCAGAGTGACTATGCTCACCACTAGATGTTCCATAATATCCCGCCATCATTGAAATGAAAATAAATCCATGGTCCAAGGTTTTATTGAAGGAGAGAGTAGGCATTACATAGCGAACAGCAAATGGAGAAAAATGGCAGCAATGCGAAGAGAACGTTGCGCTCAAAAGTCGTAGAAGTGTTTTTGGTACAGTTAAACAAAACGAGTACAATAATGTTTATTTTTCACAAATCGTATTTTCTTCGTAGAAGCGTTCCAGTACACCCTCTTGGACCAGCTGTGCCTGATGCATGTTTAGAAACTTGCTAGTTGTTACTGTCGTTATTCCTTCAGATCACTGACTTATTCTATCACACTTATTATCTCTGTTTCTTTATCTTTGCTTACACTTCTATCCTCTCAAACACACTTCACAATCGACCAACGACCTTATTTAGTGATTTACTTCAAAATCTTCTTCTTCTTAGCACTAGAATTTTTTCACTATTCTTCTCCATATTGCAACTAACTGATCTCCAGACTGACAAGGTGATAGCTTCTGGTATCCAGAAACACTACGGCCTTGAAAGAGGTTCAGTGAAATCACGGAACATACAAATTAATAAAGGACTGACAATCCACCAGAGTTCGTGGCTCGACTACCACCCATTGGACACTACCAAATACCTGGAACAGTACCAAAGGAAATCAGCTAGTGTTTTTGCTTGTGAATGAGATTTCATTTATTTTATCGTTATTGGTACCATTTTGAATACAAAGTGTTTACTACCATACATTTTCACAATTTTACAGAACCTTAATCATCATAACAAAGTTGCTATATTTGTAATAAGCAACTCGTCAACTCTGTATAGCGGTTTAGAAATCAGTATATTATTGCATTACAAAACTGTGACAAAATGAAACAAATAATTTCAGGTGAAATGAACAATCACTGTTCTACATATGTACCTAAAATATCCAACATGCAGCCACTTTTCAGTTACATGTATCGATCTACCACTTAATTGCTAAAGAAATCAACAAATAGGATTGAGAATATAGTACTGGCGCGTTTTTCACCGACATCGGTGTAACACGTTTTAACACGTTCGTAATCTTACTGTACCGACTTTTAGTTCTGATTATCATTTTGCGTTGATCACATGCTTGTTATTTCTAATTGTTGTCAATTGCTTTTTCTATTAATCTTAGGTTCGTCGTGTGTGCTTATTGAGTCGTCTGATCACCTCTTTTTTGTTCTTTCCTCTTCCAGATAACATCGCACTGTTCCTCATACTCTCCCAGCAAGCCAGGTACTTTCTGGCTACACGCAAATTTATCAGACGCTGAATTTACAACTGCTTTTGGTTTTTTCCATGATAGTAAAGCGTGCTATTAGCTTTCTTCACGGATTACTACATGAACCTTATGGATTTTGGGTTCTTCCCCCTATTTTTATTATTTTGGAAGTTTTATGTGGTTTTTTAATCATCGACAAAGTTCCATGTATGCCGCAAACGAAATGTTTCTAATCAGTTTGTAAAATTTCAGATACGGAAATTGACTGGGTTGCGTATATGCAACAAGTGGGCGGATTTCTAAATGGGACTTTAGACTATGATAAGCTGGAAGGTCAGACGGGGCCTTGTGTGTAAGCTCTAGCTAGTAAAACAATTTTTTAGATACCCTGCTGGACATTTATATGTTTACACATTCCTTCACTGGTTTACAAAAGGTGGATCTGTGATCGAAACTGCTCAGTTTGTATTTCTCGGTTTTTATATACTAACATTGGCGTTGGTTTTCAATATATACAGATTGTCATTCCAGGTATTGATTTATTTATGATCTACCTATTGTAGGTTCCTTCTTATGCTCTATTCTTTATGTGCATTGTGTCGTATCGTGTTCATTCAATATATCTCCTAAGGCTTTTCAACGACCCGGTGGCCATGCTTTTTCTCTATGCCTCTGTAAATGCTCTTCTATACAACCGTTTCACAGTTGGTAGCATTTTGTTCAGGTTTGTTCGCCTTAATAGATTCAAAGCTCACTGATGAAATTCATCAAAAGAGGGATTTTACTGTTATATGTTTTGCTAAAAAGGCTTCAAAATGTTGATGTTTTGATACCTAACCCTGTCTCTAAACGGAATACCATCACTAACCTCTATAAAAAATGAGTTGGACTCGTCACCGAAGTTGCTTTTGTTAAAACGTTGATTGTTAAAACTAGATCTCATTCTTAGTATGCATATTCACAACTTTGTATCACGTTCGATGATGTTTCTAATTTGACCTATATGTAGGTTGTAGTTTGTAGTTACAATTTATTTTATAGTTTAAAGGTAATTTATCCAGTTTCACTAGTTTATATTGATACTTTGTTTGAACCGTTTTATACCATTCCACACCATCTTGAGTGATCGTTCTTGCTGAAGATTCAAATAAAGTTGCAAATACCACAAGACGGTAGTGCCCACTGGTCTTGCATTCTACTGGTCAGCAAGATTTGTTATCTAGATATTAAGGTGATACCAATATGGCAACGAAATACTCCCAAGTTATCTTTTTAATATACAAAAGTTCAGACCTCAACACATTAGGTTATTGGTTAGATAGGGAAATGGTCTGTAAATATTCGTTTCGGGGTCCAATGAAAGTGAACTAAGAAGAATCAGTTTGCGTACTTTTACAAACCACACTCTTCAACATCTTAATAGCTAAGGAGGAGGGTCTTGTTACCCGTCAAGCAGAAACAAAAATGATCTTTTTTGATAATTCTCAAGCTCTTGTTTATGATAATTACCAACAAAAATCCTTAAAACATACGCTTTTCAGCACTCGGAACCAGATGCTGATCATCATTAATCTAATTCGTAAATTTTGATGCCTAACGAAGCATCCAATGAAAATTTGACTTTAATTGTTTGTGTGTATTGCTAGTCAATCTCGGTGATCAACATTTTCGGGCCTCTATAAGCCTCATTAGATCTCTGGTCTGTTTTGTTGCTTCACCAGAATTAGTAAAATATTCGTAGCTAAATTTGGAAATAAATTAGTGGTCCCAAATAAGTACTGGTAATTGACGGTGTATTCAAGTGTTTGGTTTTCTAACGATAATGCCTAATTCTGTAAAAACCATGCATCAACCCACAGTTTTTTAAAACTGCGTTCATCAGGGAAAAATTGTAGTAAAATTCTGGTTTGTGTTCAGAGATTTCAGGAGTCAGATACACTTTCATATCAGTTGTTATTCCTTCGACCAACCAGTGGTAATTGATTATCTAATTTTCACTTCGTGGTAATATCTCTATTCTTTACAAAATATATTATAACTCTAGTGTTAAGGTTATTTGAACCGTAGCGTTTCGGATACCGTAACACTTTTGATAAGTTGTATTATTAGATTTTGTAATGCACCATACGTATTATGTTCGTCTTTAGAAACAAGAAGCATTAGTTTTGGAAAGCTTCTAGTTTGTAGCTCGTATGCCTCACATATTACAGGTCAGATCATGCACTGATATCGAGTTGTTAAGCTATATTCAGAAAAATTGCGTCCGGTACTATAATATAATATTTTGCTGTTGTGCTTGTGAGCTTTTTATTGCATTTAACGTTCCTAGTTCATTATTTCCACTGTTATCTTATCTCTTTGTTACTAATAGTCTTGGTGTTTCGGTCAAAATGAATATATTGCTATTCTTTCCTGGTTTCCTAACTGTATTGGTTTGGCACAAAGGAATTCTGGAGACAATCGGCCACCTGTGTGAGTGTTCCGTCGTCCAAGTAGGTTTAAAAGCATTCTGTTCGCTAGTATTTATTTTCACCTATACGGTTCGCATCCTATTTGTAGAAGTTGTTCATGAACTACTGTCCAGAATTTTAAAATTAGTACACTGCATATTGCTTAGCAGTAAGGTGGCTGAGACAATAGGACAATTGTTTTTATTGATCGGGTTGCTGAAGTGCTTCTTTAGCATCATACGCACTTTTGTATAGTGAACTTTCGGAGTCAGGGCTTTTCATATTGTAATTTTGTTGTTCATTAACTGAAAACTAGATTTGTGTACTGCCATTCTATAGTCCGGTCTTTGGAAGGCCAGTATAGTTTTACGACAATAAAGTGAGTATTTTAACCAACAGACCAGGAGACGTTACTTAAGTTATTGGTTGAATCTAAATTATCTTGTAATACAAGAAGTAAAATGGGGAGTATTTCTCAACAAAATGTGCACGAAACTCACTGATTTTTCTCTAGTTGTAGATACCTAAGTATCAACATCAAATCTTATAATTTCCCCTAAGTTGATATGAGCAGCTTAATTTCATGATCTGTAGAGCTTGCTACTTATCATACAAACCTGCATGTTATTATCTACCATATTAAAGAATTTTCGCCACCTAATTTTTAGCAATTCTCACACATTACAGCTGGTCATTGGTACACCCTTTTTATTTCACAATCCATGGGCGTATGTAAGCAGTGCATTTAATTTCGGTCGTCAGTTTATGTACACATGGACAGTCAACTGGAGATTTCTACCAGAAAGTGTTTTTTTGGATAGGCGGTTTCATATGATTCTACTAATCTTGCATTTGTGTATGTTGTTTGTATTCTTCTGGAAGTTCATTCGGTAAGTTTATTCTCTACCTTCCGTTTTGTACTATAAATTCAAGATAATAAACTGATCACATATTTTTTTCCATAAAACTAAACATTTTAGATATGGATATGTTTACTAACGATTCAGTCATACCTCTAAGTCGTTCAGTCAAAAGTAGTCTTTATATTTTTAGTCGAACGTGGCCAGTAAGAGTAGAAGATATTCGTAGGTTATCAGTATTCGATTATAGATGTCTTCGAAGCATTGCTCGTGTATCCTGGGACAACCAAGTAAGTAATACTGTCGTTAGGAAACGAGTACTAGGTAGGAATGACAGATCAATTGATGAAGTAGTGAATTTTCATGTGTTAAGGTGATTTAGACATGTATTACGTACACCTAACTGTCGACTACTTCGACGAGAAATGTTTGATGTAGGGCAGGTTGTAAAAGAGCTTGGGGCGGCCAAACTAAAACATCATATTTATGAAGTCAGTGACAGCTGGACTAGGTCATGTTGGTAGATTTAGACTACATGTAGACTACTCTGGATGACACGGCTCGAAACCACTTAGAATGGCGCAGATGCATCCATTCCTTTTGTTCTCTCAAATTATAATCTGAATTCTTCATGACCGTTTTGCTGTTTTTCGACTGACTATTGACTAAGAATCACTTGATTAAACAATACAGTTGTATTCATTAGTATAGTATAATATGCAGTATCGTAGTTCTCTCATTGAGTCCGCATTGAACAAATGGGTACTATGTGAGGTCAAAGCTAGATAAATGTTATTCGCTTACACAACAAAAATAAACAGCAGCTCTTAAGAATATAGCATTCACAAATGACTTCTTGGTAGCTTTCCATTTGACCATTCTGATATTTTCCCACTGTTAGTCCAATTTAAGTGACATCACAGACAAGTGTAGTTAGTAACTTTTGCCGTTAATACATTCTACATTTATTATTTACGAAGGCGTTACTTTCGGACTTGAATTTCACATAGAACCAAGATCTTAAAAGGCATTAGAAAGCATCTTTATGAAATTTGCCTGGCTTCAGTGCCTGATTTACAGAGATATCAGTCTAAGATCATTTGCGGAAAAAATCGGGTACTCTTATTTTAGTCTCATTGCAACACCTTTTCTTACAATAGAAGGACGGTATTGTTGGAGTTATCGATCACTTCAATACATTCATTACTGGAGTTAGGCACCTCTGTGTCCAAAAAACACCTATCTTCCTCTATCAAAACATAAGTTTTATAATGATGTATACATGTTTTTTTAAAATACTTTCTAGTCGACCTTCCTACGGCGTTGTACTCCTAAAATACAATTATTTTCATGATGCAAAGTCGCTTCAGAAAAACATCTCACATTCATATAATTTAATCGCTGAGAATCTTGTATATAAACAATACATTAGTGACAGCATTTCCCACGTATTTACTCTTCCTTTTAAGTGTGAAAATCTCACAGTTGATTGACTGTGTTGCAGTTATATTTTATGAAAACTTAGATAGCTGGAACTTGTAAACTCTTTCTGAAACTGGTTACCTGCAAACATTTGTATGTAGTAATACAGATTCAGGTGGATGCGTACTTGAAACTGGTTTTGATGGTTTATGTTTGTTCACATATAATTGTCATTGATAACGGTAATCATGACTGTTTTAAACTAGATAACATGTTTAGTTTCTTGTACGACGTAACTACCTGTTCACTGTCTTTCACTTTAAGTAATATTCACAGCATTATATCACAATATTTCCTTATCACCTTAATAGCTCTCGTGGTGGCATAAAGAATTATATCTACGTCTTTGATCCGGAACGTGATTCGAAATTGGATTCTACAGGTAATATCTAGTGTGTCAATGTTGATAGTTCACATTTGTAGTTTTTAAGTTTGCTTTTTAGTTCAATCACATTTTAGCTGCATAATATTTTACTATACTTGCTCGTCCTTCTTAATTTGGAGGCTTTTTCATCATTATGAATTTTTCAATCATCTAACCTCAGGGACTAACAATCAAATTTAAATGAAGAAAAGACCCATTCTTTAGTGTAATAGGTTGTACTTATCTACTAATTTTTGAGGTATAAATTAATTCTATAGCTGAAAATTTGCGTTCTAATATGGTTTGCTTTACTTTTCAATGAATGCTTCTCCTTACAATTCCTATTTAAAAAACGAAAATTTCTATTTTTAAATCCTCTGAACTTTATCTGAAGTGAGGTTATATTAACTCAGTTTTGTGTGTCGGTCAGGGTACGTTTTTCAGTGTTGATATTTTCTAGCTCTTACATTTTAATCTGATTAAGAACTATCACTTATTGTCATCTCATAAAGTTATTACTTTTACTACCTCTCAATTTAGTTCCTTCGGTTTTAATTCTCTTGATTTACATTCAGCTATAATATATCCTATGTTCGTATCCAATTTTGTTGGCATTGTTATCAGCCGTTCTTTACATTATCAATTCTACGTTTGGTACTTTCATACAATTCCATATTTGTTGTGGTGTGTTAAACGTTTTTCCACCCCTGTGAAGTAAGTACTGACAAATTTTTGGATTTTCTTTATTGTTAATCCAAGCTTCTTATTCTGTATATTCGCTTCCTTCTATGTTTCTAGTAACTTCTGTGTTATTGAGTCTTTCTGTGAGTTAAAAAGACTAGTTTCTTTATTCATGTATCTAGCACAATAGAACTATTCATTATTGTTTTCTGTTGGTTCTATAATGTGAAATAATTTACAATCTGATTATTTAGTAAATCTTTTGCAGTATATCTAGTAAAAAAAGGATATCAGGAAATAAAAAAATATTCTTAACGTTAAATAGATTGTCATTGCGTTTAGATTCAGATATGTGTATATAATTATTCTTGGCTGAGTGAACGAAACTGCAATCCGTATAAGGTTTTCTCCCGTATACAATGGTCGTTTCTTTAATAGTCATCGGCTTTTCTTTGTTTGTTCATTTTTCTAGGCTATTAATCCTTGGTCTTATTGAAATCAGTTGGAACACTTATCCATCAACAATTTGGAGTAGTGGTTTACTAAATTTATGCCACTTAACATTGCTTGTCGGATTAATTATGGAATCAGTTCCGATTAGATCTATCTCACTTCATGTTGAAAAAAAAGTGATAAGTAACTCGGTCAGTACTCCTTTGAAAAGTCAATTACGCAAGAAAGCTTCAAAAACACCATTGACTACTGGGAAACGCAAACAAGCTTAAAGTGTTTTATTCTAGGGAATAAATCGTAATTGTTCAGTATTTCGATATTGTCGATTTAATGTACAAAAAGCATCTTGTAAATTTTCATTCAAGCTTCGTTTTGTATTTGTACGTGATTGTATAAAAAGGTTTGGTTTTCTACGAATAAAACATAATAAATTTCTACACTTATTTCTTTAAAGGATTTTTGTGCGTTGTTTAGTTTTTCATTTACATGTATTGCTTTTCGCTATCTGATATTATTCAGGAATTATGAGAAATTGAAAGTAAGTGGTATGAATAGATTTTAATTTTTTTTTGAATGATTTCGTAATTGTAACTTACCAATTCGATATTTTTCATTAGGGAACAGCTGTAACACGATTTCAGTTGCAATATTTCTTTTAAGATATCTATCTTATCAGTGTGATGCATAAGTGGTAGAGTTGAAATTATACACTAAATCAGCAAGTCTCTATAGGCTAAAATAGATCATAGTGTTTTCAGTTTTACTTGTTAAATATTATAAACCAACAATCACTAATTATGCCAACGTTGGCATGTAGGTCTCCCATCAGAATGGTCAAATCCTTTGATGAGCATTTGTTGACGATTGACTGCAGTCTCTCTTAGGATTGATCCTACCGTCTTCGTTGTTATCGTTTTTAGGTGCATATGATTAGATGACGACATTGTAATGTCCGTTTTTTGCTTTGAAGGATGCTGTGATGATCCTAGGTCCATGAGATCCCTATCCTATTAGTGCCTTTTGTGCTGGTTTGGACAGCATCAATACAACTCCTTGTGTTTGTGAGGCATTTCTTTCTTCATGGCTGCCGGAGTATAACAGCAGTTCTCCTGAAGCTAGTCTTAATTGTCCAACCTGCGTCCAATACGTTTCACTGATTCCAATCACCTCTAGGTTGTATCTTTTCATTTCTGCGACAATTTGAAACAGTCTTCCGGACTTTCACATTGTTCAAACATTCCATGTATCTAGAAGAATGGTTGCTCTGGTTGTGAGTAGGGTATCGACCTTATGACTTCCGAAGAAACTCGTCTTCTATCACGAGACATCATAACTCTTCTGAAAGAAGACCTACCTCCCAAGGCAGAGTGAAAATGTATTGAATTATTTTTCCTGGTTAGCGTTTTTTAGCGATTTAGTTTTCGACAGGATGAGGTTTGTGACCTCAAGCCCAACCCTCTTTTTTATCTGGGTTTGGGACTGTCAGTAGCCCCAGAGGGGCTCCAGGCGGATTTAATTTGATCTACATGAGTTAAGTATATTGTTTGTACATTTTTATTGAGGTGCGCGAAGTCTAGTTCCCGAGAATTAGTGAATAACATCACTGACAGTTTTTAGATTGTGACAGTGCTTTTTCCAGGTAATTCTACCAGACGATTTCAAATTTACATGAAAGGCTGATAAAATGTTTATGGAGAAATCTCACTACTACTTGTGCTGTAGTAATATGTTGTTTTCCTATGCAATTATGTTACTGACTTGTCTCAAGTTTAAATTCAAAGACTATCTGATCACAAGAATTGATGACAATTGGTCATATTATTTTGACTACATGAATTAACACAGAATAGCTAAGAAGCAGAAAGAAACCTCATAGACCCAAGTGTAATATCGTTTATTAAATATATGTTTGATTAAAAAACCCATGAGTTCGTTTTCACGATGATTGCATATATCAAAAAAGTGTGATCATTTATTGAGTAATGATAAAAAATTCAGTTTTTTACGTATATCAGGCGACCAAATAATTTTTTGTTTTGACAATAACTAAACGTTGTGGATCGTTATTTTGGACCCTATTTTGTTAAAAAAAGTATTGATTGTTGATTGGCATTACCATATTTAGTCACAATTTTAGGTGTGAAAACCAACGTAGTTTCCGTGGATCGCATAGGAAATTTTTATGATCAGTAACTGAATGCTTCCCTTCTGTGTAATTAATAAGAGTAAAATTAATCCTTTTGTCATATATATATATATATATATATTACGGATGCAGTAACTGACTAATTATAAATAAAAGATTGTTCAGCTGATTGGTTAGTTACTAATACTACTTATATTGGATTAAAATCATTTGGATTTATATTGGAAATAGTTTCGACGGAATAAGACATTAATTAGAACAATCGAAGCAACAATGACAACGCGGTCGATTTGCAATGACTGTCTGGTTTCAGATACACTTTAGTTTTCGTTAATAAACAAGGTTGTTTTTTATCAAGTCGTCTTAATTGACAACTCAGTTACAAGTTTAAAAACTTGTCAATTTCAGTCTTACTTGTAAAGTCAATGATCCAAATAAATGAGGAATTTGTTCAATCAATCTCGTTTACTATTCATCGCATTATTGAAGAAACTTAGGCTCAAAAAGTCAAATCAGGGATCACACTCAAAAATTAATGTTATATTTTGGTGAGGTACTTGATACATTTTCTTCTTTAGTAAGCAAAAGTTTTGTGATAAAATAAAAGGTTGGCAAATTCGTCAATAAGGTAAATTCTGTGCAGTATTCAGATATAATTTTGTCGAATTCATTCTAATGATACAGTCACATCAAGTAAAATTCAAAAACATTATAAAACAAATTTCTCAATGCATCAAATCCTGATAACATCATATTAGTTGCCGATTGTTCCAATAATTTGTTTATTTCTAATGAAATTCTTCTTCAAAGGAGTCAAAATCTGATGAAATTCTCCATGATATTATGTCAGATGTCATTTGTCTTCACAGTACATTCACAATATGCGGCGTAGGAAAGAAACCGCAAGTAAACCTCTTCTACTTAATGATAAAAAAGCTTGGAATTTATTTCAGGAACAATTATAAAAACAGTTAGGCAGCCGTGTAGTAAGTGATGGTGGCGGATTTCAGTAGCATCTGTCGAAATGATGGGTGCTCGAAAACTCATCCTCTCTAGCTCTGAGTAAGATGAGGAGCGCCGTCAGCTTGGGTGCACGCTGATAAGAAGCATACACAATGATCGCGAACAGTGGTTGGTAGAGAAAGCGAGAGAGGTAAAGAAGGCAGCAGTGATAGGCAACAGTGGACAACATCGACTCATAGGCGCTGGAAGTGGATTGGACATATTGAGGGAAGCACCGAAGAAAGCTACAAGGTTAGCCGAAACATGGAATCGTCAAGGCCAAAGACAAAGAGTAGGACCAAAAAGCACATTAGGCGGCAAATCGATAGCAGATATGAAAAGAATGAACAGCAGTTAGATAGAACTGGGAAAGAAGGCTCATTACAGTGGTTGGAGATTGCTCTGTTCGGGTAACAGGTGTGATAAAGCGATACTGTAATTTTTCTTCGGTTGATTCGGCATATAGAAAATTCTATCCGTTACTATTGAAGATGCTATGTTCACTTTTAGCTTGACTCTGTTTATTTCATAATTTCATCTATTGATTTATCAGCCTTATCTAGTACCCCTTTCCTTACACCACTATTGTTTCCTCGGTATTTCCAGGATGTATTAGCAATGAGTCGAAGACACCTGTGATCGGCTACTACTAAGCTACGAATATCCTCCATTTTTAGTGGTCATGCTTCACACTCGTAAAGTAGGGTAGAACGAGCTGTTGCTCAGCGAACTCGTCCTTCGGTTAGCAGACGGATACCTTGCTTACGCTATATATGCTAGTGACTGTAAAAAATAGATATCTTTACTTCACAAACCTTTCTTCTCACTAACAGAGTAAGTTAACTGTGGTAGTGTTTCTCTAACTTATTCAAGTTATAGAATTTAAGACCGTTCACTTAAATATTTATCGGCACATTTGTCAACTTCAAGGAATTTTATCGAAGTTCTACGTTGCTGTTGATTGATTAATTGGCTAAGATCATCATTAGGACAGAATTAAAAGAACAACCAAACTCAGGTAAACGAATGTTTAGATTCAAAATAAAAGAACTCAACAGCTGTTGTCCGTAGTGGTTGTTTTGTAATGTTAAATTCTAGTTTTGTTTTAGTTGTTTAAACAAATTGAATCAAATAAAGTAACAATATTTTAAGAAAATGTGACACTTCATGTATGTCATTCTATGAAAATCTGCAGATGGATCAACATTCTTACTTCGTACCCTAACGTCAACATTACTCATTCGGTTGTCCCACCGTATAGTGTGTTATTTCACGGACACCTGCAACCCAGTACGTGCTGCTGACAAATATCTTCTACTCTCATAGACTGTTTCACAACGATTTATTAGTGCAGAGTGAACTACTGGCCTTTAACATAAAAGATGGATGTCTCGCGTACGACTCAACTTGACAAAAACCAGACTGACATTCTCGACTCTTTGTGAGAATTTGGTCGTCACCAGGACTGATGAAATTTCCAAGACTGGTAGTGTAGTAAATTAACTCAAATGCCTTACTCCCTATGATGTTTCAGGAAGTTGATTGAATAAGAGTCATGAGGCTGGTCTCGTTTGAATATGTAATTACAGAGTACCCCATGGGATTTCCTGTAAAAGAATGAACATCGCATGTAACAGTCTAAAAGTTTGTATCATATAATTTTCCCATAACGCAAACAGTAGAATATTTACATAAAAGCCATTAAAGAATATTTTTCGATCTTATTAATGTAAATAGACAAATAACAATTCTCAGAATGTGTGGCTGGTAAAATGAGCATATATTTCATTGATTTGACATTTATCACAGTGAACATGTTATGAATTTATAGTCAGGTGATTTTCTAAAAAAGTATTGATTATCTTCTCTTAAGTATACATTGCAGTATTTGATAAAAGAATACACTATAGAATTCACTTTCTTTTATGATGGAAGAATATGCGGAAAACAAATAATTAAGTCTATCCAAATAATATTTTACGAAAAAGTGAATGAACTAACTGACCTACTAATAAATTAATAGATCAATATCTTCCGAATAAAGGACGCGTCATAATAGTTTTCGATGTATAGGTCTTCTAATTGATTTATTTTGATATAATTAGATACACTGTCGAATTATCGATAAATAGATTAGCTACTAACTACGTTTCACAAGGTTCCGTGGTTTATCGGCAAGAAAGAATCAATGCACAAATTTTCTGTTAATTAATGAAGACTATTCATTATTAGATATCACTAGTCTGGATTTGTGCAAGATTTTTGCTTCCTTGGTTGAAAATATAACTGTTACGTACAACAGTGTAATTGTTACTTTAAATCTAAACACAATCTAATATGGTTTGTATAAGTCATCAAATAAATCAATATAACATTTACATAGTCATGTGATGTGCGTATAGAATAAAACTTCCTAAATATCACACAAAAATTAAGAAAATCAATAGCCTCACGTGATCGAACGGGATGATACAATCGTTGTACTTTGAAATGGTGTCATACAATTTGCATAGTACGTGGTAGTTTCCTGTTAAATGCTTGGTTTGTAATATTATGAATGTGCATAGTTTTAACATAACAATTTTTACCACTAACATTTTTCCGGCATTATGAAGCTTGATATTTTATTTCGTTCATTCTGTTATCAACTCGTGTTATATTTATTTAAGTATTATTATAAAATATCTACCAATTTTTTATCATATTAGGACCAATCTGTTGCAAATAGTTCAGATATTTTATTAATAGAACTGATGGTATTTTTATAATCATTCTCTCTGGAGGTTACAAGTTTCAGTTCCATAGATTGTAAATTTGCATTGAAAAATACTCTACCTTGTCTTGTTGTGACATGACATTTTTATGCCTTTTACATGATTTATACTTTTGGACAAAATGTTTGAGTAAAAATATTCTATCACTCGGAAAAGAATTAAACTTTAGTAATTTTATACAAATGAAAGATACGATTTATGTAAAATAATGAATGATATTTCGTTTTTATTTGGCACACCCATTGCAGTCAATGGTGGTTTATAGGATTTCTGATTGAACTTAAGCTAAATTGATTGTTCAAACTTAATGATCGATAATTGAAACAAGCAATCATTCTTAATAAAGGATTCTATGAGACTAAACAAAATACCGTGTACATATGTACTTTACTCAAAGCACAATGATGCAGTTCATTGGATTTAACATTTACGGCTAGAAAATTCTCATGAGAAAGAAATGAAATTTACCGCTGTTACAGAGTTCTTTCTTTACAGACTATCAAACTGGCATTTAACAATACATTACGACTATGTAGAGATTTGTGTATTAAACTCAGTCATACCTATTCTCTGTACGGTAGGTCTAAACAAACCAATCAATTCACATACTCTCAAGGTTTGTCAGATGCAACAGTACGTACACAAGTGGATTGTTCACAAGGAAAATTTAAGTATCGATATATGACTTTCCATAAATACGTAGATATTCGTTCAACAATACAGCTTTTTACTATTTATTACGTTCGGTTGTGTTAAGTAACACAAAGTCCCGAAAATTCATGCTAAACCATTAAGTTTGTGACCTTCATTAACACTTTCAAAGTAGAGCGGTAGACGAGCAAATTTTCTTTATGATAGCGATGTTAATGATCAGAAATTGTTTCATTAATCAAATCATATTTCAGAGGTGAAACATTAAAAACAAACTGAATTTTATTCGTTGAAATTCATTTGTGACCAAATACAAAAATAAAGAAATGAAATAACAAGCTTCAGACAGGTCATCGCGATCGTAAAAATCATAAAATTCTGTGACTAAACCCTCGAAAAATTCAGAAAAAACAAGCTCCTATGTTTCGATTTTTCGGCTAATAGATCCCACTCTTACTTTCGTTAAATGAATATAAATATTTGTATTTTCAATCATACATTAGTTATGGTCTTCCGATAATTCTTGAGATTTGTAGATCATATTAATCTGCATGTAATGGTTATATGCCTGTGACAAAGAAAGCAGCATTGTAAAGACTCTTCCAGATATTATAATACCCACCAAATATAACAACAAACATTACATAACATTCAAAGGTTTATCTATACATAGCGTACACACTAATGAAAATAGAATACCATTCGTAATAGGATATCTACGATCAAGAGATTTACTTGGAATCTGTGTGCAAGGAAAAATTAAGTACAAGAAGAATTATAGTTTGGTATTTATCTCTCATGTTCAATCAACCAATAAAACGATAATCTCAAATATGGTAAGAATAGCAGTTTGCGCGAAATTTCGAATATGTGCGTAACTAATAAAAATAATGGCAGTATATATTTTTGTCTATGCATCCGTATGTGTTCTTCATTACATGAGCTATCAGGATGAAAAGATGGCCAATAGAAAGGCTTCATGGTTCCCAAAAGTAAAGTAGCTTTAATTCAATTAAGAGCAACACAAATCTATAAGACTGCTGTACCTGGTTACAATAAAATGACAAAGTAATTCATAAAAAACTGGGATAATAATGCTAGGAACAAACAGGAAGAAGGGAAGATTATTAGTGAATGTTAGAAAATAGTAATGATGTTAATACTTATAACAATAATAATATATTCTAAGTAAGATGAAAATTTCCAAAACACCACACTCAGATATGCGTGCGCTAAACAAAAATGATAAATAAAAAACGAGTATTTAAACACTCACACATCATTTAGCAAAGGAAGAAGGGTTTCATCTCTAATCTTTCGTAATTAAAAATGCTTTACTCATACATGTGAGCACAATTGTTGTTTTACTCTTTTTAAGATATTGAGACTTGAGCGGATTAGGAAAAAAAAATGAAAAAATTTATAGTGTATGTAATAATTCAAGGATAGGTGTTGTAAATGTATCAGCTAAATTGTAACAGCCAATGAACAAAAATACACTGAAATAGAAAAGAAATAGATCCACGAGAGAGAATATATCCTTAGAGAACTCTATAAGGAGGAGTGTGGAACAGAGTGAAGAAATGAATAACTTTAACAGAGACCAAAGGAATACAATGGTATCACAGCCACAATATATATCAAACAAAACAGATAATTGATTGACAGAGTCCACTTGCACGTAAACAGTAAGATTAGGGACTAGAACTACGTAGTGCATCTGAAGTTAACGATGATGTAGTTGATTTTGAAATATATTCAACTTGATCTGTATCAGATGATATGGAATTTGATGATGACGAAGATAAATGTTCACTGACAAGATGAGTATGTTGAATTGTTGTAGAATCAGGAATAGGAGAAATAGTAGTTGTAACGGTATTGATGTTGGGTGGAGTAACTGCTGTAGCAACAGCAGGACTATTAACAGCATTACTATTAGTAGATAATTTTGCTAATGAACGATAGGAATCTAACCATTCTTCCACCATGTTATCAACAAGAGTGTGCTTTGCATGTAATCGTAATCGGGCAAGTGGTAGTCCCCGTCTTGTACACACAACATCTAACCATTCTTGAAGAAGTGTATGAGACATTTTAGCCTGTAATAATAAAAAAAATAATAAACTCACTTTAAAAATGCAGCTTATTTGGCAAATACAAGTTTATGGGATTGGCTAGGAACTATACTGTCTGAATCATTTCCAGATAATGTTGGGGAAAATATAGATGACGAGTTTAATTTTCTCATCAGTCGATGTTACATCTAAACGACGGTTAAAATAATAGTAACTTAGAGAACCAATTTATGGATTATCATTGTAAATCGTCTTGCTATATAGTGATTAAGCAACCGTATTATCAAGTCAGTCACTTTTATCATAACTGACATAGTGAAATAGTGGGTTTTGTTCACGTGACGGTGATCTCAACGTGGGAAGATGACAAGTATTTTTAAAGACCGATTTCACCTTGTTACAAAATTATGTTTCACGATGTGTAATGAGTTATAAAAATTATCGGATATCCATTTAATAGTAGTATTTCAGTTAGTAGTTTGATGTCTACAATTGTATGAAAAGTTCAGATACGTGGGGTTCTGATGACTAAGACTAGTTTATATTACAATGGAGAGAAATTATAATTACTCAGATATTGAACTTGTGATGTGATGATTGTTAGAAAATACGAGCAACTCAACCTGGTAGTTATACTCAGCTTTCTGTATAAGTTGTTGAATTAAATCAGCTTTCATGATTGTTTGCTGAGGTCAACTATCAATATGAACAAATACATATACTTTACTGTATTGGATATACTTTGGACAAAATTCAATATTGATCTAATATGATCTATAGTTAGAGCTGTGAAATCAAGCAATTGAAGATGGATGACGACTAACTGAATTACAACTAGTATCTGTATCTCTTCTAAGATTAGATACAGCTACACATATCCTCTCAGTGTAAACAAGTAATTAGTTAATATCTAATACAATCAATCAGTTAAACCTAAATTTACTGATATGTTATCAGAGATTAACATCGAAAAATTTGATGAGAAAAAAAAGTTCTTTAAAAATAATCTAACATTATTGTTTTACAATAGTTATCTTTGTTCTTTAGAATGGTGCTGAAGACCATTTCTTTTTACCTCTTTTTCTGTAGTGAAATGTATTGGTAGCATAACGCCATGTCTGTCAACGAGGGGAAGATAAACAGAAGCATTTTGTTGAGTCGTTGTACCAGGTAGGACCGTTCCACAGCTGACTAACGACGACTCTGTTGAAGAAGCTAGTTGTGTTTCCGAAAGAGATGTTGAAAGGGGGACAGTAGAAGTGAGTGTATAAGTACTTGTTTCATCTGAGGGTGTAGGACTATGTTTACGTGAAGATGATGTACGAGGAGAAGCATAAGGTGAAAAGCTGACACCAGTTGTTTGGTTGGAATCTGTAGCTGATTCACTATTTACGCTATTCGAAGATAACGGACATGGTTCAATAGGTACAAGTGCAGTGAAATGACCCCGAGTAAAACCCAAAACAATGGGATTCCGAGAACAAGAGCACTTTTCCCAGAGAAGTGGAAGATAAATACCTAAAAATAATTTAAACATACAACAATGTTAATAATTGGAGATTTTTAATAATGGGTGAAATAGGAGATAGCAGTTTGTTAAATTAGGGGGCTTCATGGATATAATTTATAGTTACAATGATTTCATCATGAATTGATAATAGATGATTAAAATCATGCAGTACTACTGAAAGACTATTTTATCTCGGTTTAAAACTACTAATTAGTAATGCATAAGTATGATTTCATACAGGCCTGGACTCTTGTGTCTTCTGACGAATACAATACCACTAGATTACTAAGTCAAAATAGAATGGTGGATATTTTCAACCTTATTCCAGTTCTTCCTGTTATTTGATTACTCTCCAGATGACGTTATATTATAATAAACATTGTTTGTTCAAGTACCCTAATGACCGAAAGTCAGATACTCTAATCACTAAAATTTAAGTTTCTGTTTAAATCGTCTTACTCATTTATCGTGTCGTAGATCGAGTTACATAAATAAATAAGCTTTATTTGTGAAATCCTGTCTAATACTGTGGAGATGGCATGACAAACTTATTTTGTAAATAGTTTTTGATACTATTTGTATTTATTCTGTTAATTTTCACAGCCTGTACATTCACTATGAAATTGTTGTACATTTTGTTTAAGTGTGTGTCCTTGAATATATCACGCGCTTTAACTGCTCCACGTTTCCGTTCTTTGTACACATAGCACGGCACTCACTGCCTGATCCTATCAAATACACTTTATACGCACGTTTCATGTTCTCAATTGTTCATTAATGCTATAACTAGATCCTAATACGTATATTGTCTACATTTATAGACTGCAGTCATATGTATATGCTACTTTACGGGTAATTATACCACGTGGATCATTAACAATCCTATAATCGTGGATTTATAGTACCAAACACAACCCAACACGTACAAGCAGCCGTATAAAGTAACGTCCTTACATATTGATTGTGTTTATTAGATTTAACTGATATATTTCAATATACATCTGTTTGTATTTAATAACTTTGTTAATATTTTGAAATAATATATATTGTTTGGTCCACCACAATACTACAGCATTTCGAACCTCACTGCACTACACTCAGGACTATGTTGTAGAGTAAATTCCCTCCGATATTTTTCACCTACCTTGAATGTTACTCTGGCCTATTGTAAGTCCAATGTAAGTGAAATTATGTACATGAGTAACTTCAGTTTTGAAATGCCCAACAAATAGTTACCGTAAAAGGAAGGTTCGAACATTTTAAAGATGTTGCTAAGAAAACTTAAAAGTACCAACATGAAGAATGTTAGTTAATTAATTGTATGGTAAAATACACTCCTTATGTTAGATTGTTAACTGTTATTATTGAGGAGGCAAAAAGTAAGTTCCAAGCAACGATATTAACACTTTAAATGCCATTAGGCTTCTAAAAGTTCACATCATTATCACATGACAGTAAATGCATAGTAATGATGGTTGAAAATATATTTGAAGGACACAATGAAAATTGAGGAATTCATCGAATAAAAATTAGTACTTATACGTAGGGTACAGACAAGATAACAAGCTGACCTTGAAAGTTAGCTATTCCTATTGGTTCACCACGATAATTCTTTATGTACTTTACACCGTAGACAATAATTGGTCGGCGAAGGACATGACTCAAAGCGAATATATGGATTTGTTCTAAGGCTTCACCTGAATGAAATGTGAAAGAAGAGAGTAACCATTGAAATGTAAACTTAGCAATTTACAGATGAATCGGCAAAACATTACACAGACTAACATTAACTTCATGTGAATGAATGTACAAAAAGAATTTTTTTTGAGGTAGTAATAATAATAACCATGTCTTCTTCGCGACGCAGTTGATAGTATAAGGTTACGAAAAGCGCTATTCTGATCAAACAATTAGGCATGAATAATTTTTAAAGTATCATTGATAGAAACAATATTAGTGTTATCGAAAATAGGCTCATTTGCATATCGATTGATAATATTAATCGCCCTTATATTACTCCGTCTCAACATTTATTCGTATCATTCAGATAGAAATCAATAAAGTGAAGTAGTAAATAATAAAGTGGCTTCTTTCAGAGTTGAACTTAATTATTGTAATGCATAGAATTTATACAATTATCAATAATTAATCATTCGATAAGTGTATATTGCAATATTTCCTAATCACTACTGACGATAGGTTTGTAAATATAGTTAAAATATTTATTTATTCATTATGTGATGCTGTGAAAAGCTCTCAAACAATCAGTGAGATAAAGGAAACATTTGCATTACGGGGTTGTGAAGATTGTTAAGTTACACATTTTTTGAAACCATGAATAGATCAATGTTAGACCACCATTAGAAACCTAGAAGCACTGGACGGCCATTTCGTCTTGGTATGGGACTCCTCAGCTGTGCTCATCCACGACTCCTGCACCCCGCAGGATTCGAACCCAGGACCTTCGGTATTGTGCGCGAACATTTACAACTTATTCCAGCAAAAAATATTTCGCGTTAAACTTTAAAAAAAAGGAATCACCTAAAGATAAGCATGTTGGAGAGATTTTATGAAGAATAAAATCTTCCTAGTTATATAAGAAAAGGTGATAATAATGCGAATCTAAACGTTAAGATTACAACTGTACCATCACCAACAATTAAAGTACTGTTAATTGGTCTTGAAAGACAGTTCCACACATAGCGTTCATTTGCTCGGGAAATTTTTTTCCTAACAAACTATTGTATGGACTGCAATCACCTTCCCTAACTTGATAAAATATAAAGTTTTTAGTTACTGATCTCCGTTAGAACTAAACGAACAATACAAAAAGTCAATAGACCGGTGAAAATAAATTCTAATATGTTTTTGTTTGTTTATTTTACAATTCAAGGTAACACATGCACGACAAGATTGGATGAATTTACGCTACAACTGTTATTGGTTTCAAACATAAGCAATAAAAGCACAGAGCAGATCTTATGGAATTCATTCAGTGATTCGGAATGCACCAATCGATTAAAATCAGATGATATATTCTAATTAGGAATTGAATTTTATGACGTCACATGACTTCTCTTACTGAATATCAAGCGGTATTTTTTTTAATCAAGTACGTAATGACGCTTCTCAGCACTATTTATATAGTGATTCTTAGAAATGTATACATTTTTACAGCCATAGTAGTTATCAAATCTGCAAAGTTGTTAGTTAGCATTGAGTACAGTAATGAAAAGACAGAAAACAAAACACTAGATAATTTTTATCAGTAAATTAATTTGTATATTACTAAGAAATCTTTATCAGACAACAGTTTTATGGCATTTTTATTAAGATTTATTATATTTTGATTCATCAATTACTGTAATGACCTTTTAAAGATTAGAAATGACAACTTATTAAACTGCAGATAGGTTACTTAGTTTTGTTGAGGAAATCCTAGGTACGTAACTTTCAGTATTTTAAAAATGTAGTGTACATGATAGTCTTGTACTTTAATTTATATAATTATACGAATTAGAAATCATAATGGTAAAAGGTGCTGGTACCGGCTCATTTAACCTTATTGGTAAAATTTGAAAAATGAAAATTTTTTCGTGGTATATAGATAGATTGCAAAATACACTGATGAAACAGGGGGATACATTATTAGTGTTAAAGAAGATATGAAGGATAAATATACTTTAGCATATACCAAAGCAAAACGGAAGACAAAAAAGGAACATGTGACTTGTTCTGTAGTGTTATGATGGATTAACAGATAAAGTTCATCAATCAGTACCATTCCAGTAACCAATGATCACCGAAAACATGAAGCGATCAGACAAGAGTGGTAGTTCGGAATTTCGTCATGAATATTGACTCAACTTTCAGAAATTGAAAAAAAGCATTAAACAATCCAACCCCCATTAACTAATTTCCTTAGTAAACTTACGTGGTTGACATGCTGCTGTTAGCACATTCTCCCAATCTCTTTGACATTGATCTTCATCTAGGATATAATGACATGCTGCTTGTAATGCTTCATAATCACGCCAACGTGGATAAAAGTTTGATTCACAATTCTGAAGACTGTCCGCAAGTGTACGACGTAAACAATTCTCTCTATCGAATACTCCCCAACAAGCCTAAAAACGGAAAAGATATTCACTTAGTAAACTGGACTAGTATAAATATATGACACAACGTTATAGTTTTGTGTAGCGAATATTTAAAATGACTGAACTACTTTGAAACAAAAAGCATGGAAAAAATACGTTACAATCAAATAGAACAGATTATACACGCTGATAGATGAATCCAACATGCTGAATTCTTAAGAAAAACTCGATGTTCCCCTAAAGTGACATTGAGAATTTTCGTAAAAGAAAATTCAAAGAAACTCAATAACTTGAAAATTTTGGATCATTGAAAATCTCATACATTCAAAAGAAGAGGTTCCATGAAAAAAATGAATAATTCCCAACAAACATTTTCTCCTTTGGCTTTTATATGTAGGCAATAATCAAATTGAATAGAAATTCAATAGACAAAAATTTGTCTACAACAAATTTTTTGTTGCTTGTTTCTTTTCCAATAAACTGGTAATAGTACTTAACGATTTTACCATACCACTGCATTTTAGCATAATTTTGTATACATGTGAGGAAAGTAATTGACTAGATTACTGAAAGTACTGACCTGTAAAACACTGTCTAATAGACAATCACCTGCTGTTCGATTCCACAAAGCAAATAGACGACTTGATTGTTTTTGTCCAGGAATAAACCACCAATTAATCGCTTTAGCATCATCTTCTAACTCTACATTTAGCATTGACAGGAAAAACAAACAATGAGGAATAGAATTTGTCAAAACTTAAATTACAATTTATCATACAATTTTGAGAATTTGGAAGAGTACAAAACAAAGAATAGTAAACTTCTCGATGTCTCGTTCGACGATAAAAACAAACGAAAACACTTCTCCAAGGAACAGTCACACACATCTTAGCAACATTAGTTAATTCGGTTTAAGAATGATAACACAAACAATAACTTATTACCTAAGACTGAGTTAATCTTATGATATATGCAAAATGGAATGAATACATTTCTGCGAATCCGGACAACTAAACTCAAATCATTAAAGATCTACATGATCTATATTACTATGAATATAAGCATCTTTGCTATCATAATCATGAATCCATTATCACACCTGGAACACTAGATTACTAGTACATACATTATGAAATGTCTTAGACGATTATTAAATGTGAATTGCTATTTCATATCAAATTTGACAATAATCATCTATGAAAGTCGAGCTCTACATTCTGAGTCAATGAGATAGTACTTACTTATTGTTGATAAGTAATATGTCAAAATAGGATTAAGCTATCATCATAGGATTAAACAAATCAGATTATACTCTTTTTTTCATTTCTAGCAATTGAGGAAATAACGAGAATAATTACTGACATTGCCATGTTGTTTTACTCATTTTACACGTTTAACCACCATTTTCTACCAAGGGAATATAATAATTATTTGATTGAATATTTATTATTTTTCAAGTCAAATGTATACTTTCATTTTCTGGTTGTAAAATTTTTAAAATCCGAGTTTGTATCTACAATTATTTTGAAAGTTAAATGTTTTTTTTTCATACATAATGCATCAGTATGTCTTCAAAAAACGGTGATCACATGATAAATGACGTTTTCCATATATAATCAAAATATTAAAGAATCCATCCATGTATTATGTAAAATATTGTATATGCTATCATATTTTGTGTATTCTTTTTTTCTTCAGTAAATAAATACACACATACGGTGGTGTGTAATGTGTAGTTGTTAAAAATTATGTACATTTAAAAATGTTATAGTTACACACTGGCTTTAAAGATTTGCGATTTCTTTTTTTAGACACAATCAATATGAATAGAAGTTAGTTCACAGAAAACAATAAAATTATCATTCACAGTTGAATACTTAACATATCCAGTCGAAAAATCTCTGACACTCTTATCGAGTGGTGGAAAAAACAAAAGACATAAAGAAACATTACTACTGATCCAATAGGTTAGAGACTAGTGATTAGTAAATGAAATAATTAATGGAGTCATTCATCAACTTGATAGTAACCATATCTATTGATATGCACAACAAACATCTTGAAGTTAGCAAGTGATTTCTATGATAATGGCATTCGACTCAGTGAATAAGTCAATCCAAGACTGGCAAACAGTAAAATGAGATGTTCTAAATTTAAATGATACATAAAGTTTTGACATTGAAAAGTTCACGAACCTGATTGGGCTTGCATATCGCATAATTCTGATAGCAGTAATTGTTTTACTGGAGCAGGAAATTTTGTAATCGAATAAGGCAAAGCAAAAGTCCCCCATTCAGAAAAATAAGCACATGGAAAGTCACCTTTACGATGTTTTACCGTTTTTGCTAATAGATCTCGTAATTCACCAGCAATATGAGGGCTAGCTTGACACGGCATCCACTTACTTCTAGTGACTTGGGTCTTGTTTATATTACTTGGTGTTCGATTCAAAAGTAGTTGAAGTGCGGGATGGATTTGATTTCCTGTCAGCGGAGTGCTTGATTTACGATTTGCTTGAGTGTTTTTACTGTGCGCTTGTTGAGTATCTTGAAATGGAGGATTCGACGTAGTGTTACGTAGATTATTATTCAAGAGAGTAGAAGCGTTTGAAGTTGTAACAGCAACTGTGACGTTAGTTGCAAGTGTTGTAGTATTTGACGAAGTAATGACCGAAGCGGTAGTCGATGAATTTACAGGCAGTGTCGAATGTTTGGATCCAAAACCAACAGATATAGCGCTACTAGTGGCTTGTAAGCCAATTAAAGCAATAAATAAGTTGATTAAATCAGTACGACAAAACCGAAGTGCTAAATCTACTAATGTCCAACCAGATCGAAATTTATACCCAGGAGATGATGTGTAGTCCAGATTACTGTAAGCAATGCCAGTATCACAACTCGGAGTTGTTGTTCTGTGAGAACAGGAGCAGCTGTCAGATAGCTGACTCCAATTCATGTCATCGACTTGCTTTGTAGAATGATCAATACTTGACAAAACTGTCGATATATCACAAGTGGTGGTTGAATGCATATGAGAATTCAAATAGCGGCACTCCTACAGGATATTTCAAAGTAAAGACAGTTAATATAAAAAGAGTCCTTTAAATCATAATGACATCATTGAAAGTGCAGAAAAAACACGAAAAGGACTATATCAATAAATTGATACATCATAATATTAATATACATTTCAGTAACAATGAGTACATTTTTTAGGAATAACTTTACACCAGAAACACTTGATCTTTAAAACTAAAATATTTTCTAGTTTCATAAGCATTTTCATGCTTTTATTAGTATTCTCTAAATTTAAAAAGCCGCATTATTATAACAAAGCTGGTAAGAAGTCAATACTACAGTCAGACACTTACGACGTAGAACTTCGTACGTAAGTACATTGGTTCAGGTTGCCATACCACATTAGCACAGAGACACAACTGTCAGTTCAAATCCCATATTTAATGCTATATGATTGTACATTTCACGTAATTTTGTATGTACCCAACATGGATTTATTACTGTGTAGCAGCTACGTCACGTTATAAATAATAAATTAGGTTGGACAGGTTAGGAAAATAGAAACTCGAAGCCCTTAAACTCTCGATTTGTCATTTGAAATCCTAAGCTAGTCATAACTGAATAATTTATACGTACAATAAATCCATAACTCGAAGAGCTTATTGCCTATAACAATATCGCTGAGTGATGTACGATAGTCTTTAGGACAAAACAAGTTTTCTCAACGTTGCACGTATATCCTAATGATAAGAAAAACTACTAGGCGCACAGCCTAGGTTCATAGCCATAGAATACGTAGTTCCCCTAACAATCCACTCAATTAGTTTCCGTATTATAACCGTTTAGAACAGATGTTTATTGAAATGTCTTATTACTATAAACCCCTAAAAGTTTTACTACTGTATTAGTATAAATAAATATATTCCTTAGCTAACGGTATAGAATAATATTTGCAAATAAGAGTTCAGTATTGTTGAAAAAATTACTTCGTAAATTTCTATTACACAACCCAAGCAACATAAATGCAATAAACAATGTTAATAACCATAAAAATAAATAAAAACATATCATATATAGTCAAAAAGCGTTATAGAAATGATTGAATTCTGATCTGAGTCATTGTCTGTGTAAGTGAAATTTATCTTACTTAAAAATCTATAAGAAAGAATACGTGTACAGTAAAGTTCTTTACATATAAAACACTCACGTTCTTCGTCAATTTTCGTTCTATCCTACCATTGGAGAGTATGTAACGCTCAATCGGTGCTACTTCACCGTTTGCTACAGCAAAACATGCTGAAAGCCATAAACGATCACGAGAAGTTAATGAAATATTGTTTGAAAAGTTTGATTTCGGGCGCCGACTACCATTTGAACTAGATGAATTAGATGATAAACATGTTGAATTGTTGTTTTCAGTGTCTCCACAAGCATCTGAATCTATTGACTGTGGTGGAGATGAGAAGCACATTACACAGTGTTTACTTTTGGGCCAGTTCTCGTATGTGCATTCAATACATGTCCATTTTCCAGAAGGTGACAAGGATGTTATGGTGGGAGAAGATAACCAGGTTGAAGAAGCTTGTTTGGAAACTTCAGTATCTAAGACCGGTGAATCACAAAGAACCTGAAAGCACTGTTCACACTTAAAGTTTTGTCGTTGATTGAGATAAGTACATGACTGGCACTTTATTAGTTGTGTAGAATCAAAAACAGCTTCAGCGCAAGACTCGTCAATTTTTCCGGCATTTTTCGACGATAACTGCAAACGCTGCATCTCATCTTCGATAAGAGTTGAGCTTCTTGGTGTACCACATAATGTGCACTTAAATGCTGCAGGCCAATTGTCATACGTACACACAGCACACGGCCACTTGGCTCCACCATCCATGTGTCTAGAACAATCTTTAAATTCAGAAACTAATATTAAAATTCCAAATTCACGTAAAAATGCTTCATAAAAAGAAATGCAACTTTATAAATGTGCCATCAAACGTGGATAAAAAATAAATAGTTCTTCAAGGTGTACTGGAGTCGATATTTTTTCTGTTTGAAATCAACAGGAAAATTCGGTAATAAACAATATCAAATTTAGTGACACTACATAAGGCTGATTTTCACGTTCATGTTCTTTGACAAAACACGGTGGTTACAACAGAAAGCTGTGATCAAACTAGATAGCTGTGCCTAAAATACTAGGATCTCATACACGTGAGATGTAGGGTGAGGGTTTGTAGACAATTCAGTTACCGATGAAATAAAAACCTGAATATAATTATAAAATTTTAAGACGCTTTTTTACTGCCCGAAATATGGAATTTCGTTGTTCAAGTTTAAATTTCACCAGATGAAAAACAAACACAACAACCAACCTAACAATGGGTGGACTAATTTTCTAGTTAAATATAGATTAGTGGTCCCGAACTAAAAATCGGGATCAAAATAAACGACGGTTTGGGAGTATAATATATCTATTTCTCAAAATAATAGGTGTCGCTTACTTTATGGACTACTCGGACTTCACCGGATTACATTAGTGCTATTTTGAGCAAAAGCAGACATTATTGGTAACTGAGCATCCGCACCAGGTGTTTTACTCACGTCAGGTAATAGATATTCACTAAACCAATTCACTCAGACTAAAAGTTTTACAATCTGATTAACTGTAATCATTCAACGGTTTAAATGTGTGATATTTGGCGACATTATCAACCGAATACCTACAGGTTTCCCATATCTCCTGCTTTAGATGAATGTATCTTAGAAACTGAATAAGCACTTGGTTTTCGACGGATGTTTGAATTAACGTTTATAGCACAGAAGATTTTTGACCATTAAACAAATTCATGAATTTTTTCATTAATGATGGAATACGAAAACATCATATAAGGAGTGTGAACCAAATGTTTAGCGAATTCAAAAACTTTGACAATATTAGGACCAGGACTTTACCCATACCAGACATGAACAAAAGTTTGAACTGTGCTATCCTACTAATATGAAACATTTCGTTTCGTTGAAATGGGAAAAGCGTCTTACGAAAACGAGGTCTTGATTCAAAATAAAACCCATGTTTGAATACTTTCAAGTACAAAATTTATTGTGATTTCTTGAAAGTAAGTTTGCCTACAAATCATAAATCTGAAGACAGATTCATGCTATTGGACAACGATCCACACTCTTGTCTCAGGAACGATAGCACTAAAGTAACATATGTCTATGCCTGCAGCCTGTATTCGAAAATTATATATTTAAAAGTAACATACAAAGAAATATTACCGATTTCGCTAGACTACTACATTATCTACACTTTCAAAAGCACCGCCATTGCAAACACAAATTGACCGAGAAGATTAGGAGATCAAAACAAAAATTAGAATTCACAACAAACGTTTGACGTCTGAAATGGTCTGATTTTTCGTATCGTAGGGGGTTATCATAGATGCCCAAAATCAGGGATATAATTAAATGGAAAAGATTACTTACCTACTTTTGCTTGTTACCTCCAATGGAGCATAGGCCGCCCACCAGTTTTCTCCAACCAACACTGTCCTGGGATTCCCTTTCCAATTCTGTCCAATTTTTGTTCATAATTCCAATGTCTTTCTCTATTTCTCGGCGTTAAGTGTTCCTTGACGTTCCTCTTTTCATTTTTCCTTGAGGTTTCCATGTGACGGCTTGTCTCGTGATGCAGTTAGGTGATTTTCGTAGTGCGTGTCCTATCCACTATTTTCCTCCTCCTCTGGAACCTGGTTTGTTCTCTCCCACAGTAGGTTGTTTCTGATGGTGTCGGGCCAACGAATCCGAAGTAATTTTGGTAGACAACTGTTAGTAAGCACTTGTATCTTCTGGATGATGGCTTTGGTAGTTCTCCATGTTTCCACTCCATACAGTAGAACTGTCTTGACATTTGTATTGAAAATCCTGATTTTGATTTTGGTTGAAAGTTGTTTGGAGTTCCAGATATTTTTCAATTGTAGAAATGCAGCCCTTGGTTTGCCGATCCACGCCCTCACATCTGCATCGGATCCACCTCGGATGATAATGATGCTGCTAAGATATGTAAAGGTGTTAACGTCATCCAAGGCATCTCCATCAAGAGTGATTTGGTTGGCACTTGTTGTGTCGCATCGGAGAATTTCGCTTTTTCCTTTATGTATGTTGAGACCTACTGCTGCAGAGGCTGCTGCTACACTGGTCATCTTCTCTCGCATTTGTTGTTGTGTGTGCGATAGAAGAGCCAGATCATCTGCGAAGTCCAGATTGTCCATCTGCATCTTTGCTGTCCATTGGTTGCCGTGCTTCCCTCCAGATGTCGATGTCTTCATAATCCAGTCGATCACCAGAAGAAAGAGAAAGGGTGAGGGTAAGCAACCTTGCCTGACACCGGTCTTCACCTCGAACGAGTCTGTCAGCTGACCTCCGTGTACGATTTTGCAGTTGAATCCATCATAAGATTCAGTATGATGTTAACTGTCTTCTCAGGCGAACCGTAGTATCGTTAAATCCTCCACAGTGTTTTCCTGTCTTCGCTATTGAACGCTTGTAGTCAATGAAGTTGATATAGAGTGGTGAGTTCCATTCAGTTGATTGTTCCACAGTGATCCGCAATGTTGTGAAATGGTTGATAGACGATCGATCCTTACGAAATCCAGCCTGTTGATCTCGAAGTTAAGTGTCTAGCAAGTCCTTCATTTTGCTTAAAAACAACCTGTTGAAAAACTTGCCCGTTATTAAGAGAAGAGTGATGCCTCTGTAGTTCTCACACTTGCTCAGGTCGCCTTTTTTTGGTATTTTGAACAGGTATCCTCCTTTCCAATCTGATGGTACTTGTTCCTCATTCCAAATCTTCTTGAAGAGAAAGTGAAATATTATTGCAGATGCTTCTACATCTGCTTTCATCGCCTCTGCTGGAATGTTGTCTGGTTCCATGATGTCTTCATATCCAGTGTTGTCCATGCCAACCTTGGCATTCAGGTCTTCCATCAGAATCGTCAAATCCTTTGGTGAACATTTCCCGACGATTGACTACAGCCTTTCGTAGAATTGAACTTTAACGTCGTCATTGTAGTCGTTGGTAGGTGCATAACATTGGATGACGTTCATTGTAATGTCCTCTTTTTTTGTTTTGAAGGATGCTTTAATGATCCTAGGTCCATGAGATTCCCATCCAATACGTTTCCCTGAAGCCGAGCACCTCTTTTCATTCCTGCCGCAACTTAAAATAGTCTTTCAGTCTCACACAATGTATGAACGTTCCATGTACCTAAAATAATGGTTGCTCTGGTTTTTAGAAGAGGCACTGGCCTCGTGGCTTCCGATGGAACTTGGCTTTCATTATGCGACGTCGTAATTCTTCTTCCAACTCCCAGGGCAGAGTGAAAATGGTTTGAATCATTTTTTCTGGTTAGCGTTTTTTTGATAAGTTAGTTTTTTGATGGGCTGGGGTCGCCAACCCCATGCCGAACCCCTCCTCCTTTATCCGGGCTTGGGACCGGCAGTAGCCAAAAAGGGTCTTCAGGCGGAGTTACTTGAAAAAGATATTAACGTAATAAACAATTTCTGACCTCTGTATTAGTAGTAGGAAACGTCCCTGCTGTAGAATCTTTTTTGGATTCCATTTTGAGATTTTATCATTGTATATTGTTATTATTTCTATATCTTGTACTTATATTGAAGATTTTATGTTTGCTTCTGAACTGTACATATGTTGTTTAAATTTGATATTTAATATGGCTACAGCCATATTTGGATTTGATACCGTAGCAATTCGGACTGGAAGCACTTATTCTTCCAGAAACGGATACCCACCAGGGTAAATTGGATTTGGAAAGTGTATTTCCATTTTATATTAAATAAAGAATGTTTTCTCCCAGAATTATTGTGTTTTGGTATTGGATCTGGGACGTCGAGTACCAACCTGCACCTACTGGAAACGGATTGAACTGCTGGTGTAGAAAATCCATCTATGCCTGCTAAAGCTGATATTCCTGATTATATTGACAACTACTGTAAGATGAACTAGAAAACCTACACTCAGCTTTATCTGCATATTCATTGCAATTTATCACTGTATGCATTCTTAAGTGTTACAAATCTGCGTTACTCACAAACTGTCCCTAAGCAACATACTAGCATAAGTCGTATTCAAAAAGTCGAACCCAAAATTTACTACTGGGCGTAATTCGAAGAAATGATGATGATTACATGGATGAGCAGTTAAAACTAGTGCGGAAACAATGCAGAAAGTCACCAAAGGTAAACAGGACTTGGTATCAGGTGATGCTAATTAGCAGTTTGCTTCCAATCCGAACTCATAATTCCGTCGTACAGGCTTTCTTCGGTAAGCAGAGCAGCAAAAGCAAGATGGTGGCTGGAAAGTAAGTAAACGCGTTACAAAAGTACGAATAAACTAAATGTTCGGTAAAGCGTTCCTTGTTACAACTGGTTATAATAATGAATGTTGCTTTTTAACCAGTCGTGCTTTTCATCATAAAGGAGAAACCATTACAAGCTTTAGTCAGTTGTTCCCATTCATTAAGTCCTAACGGCCTAACTATCAAAAACAGTGATACCGCAGGACCCCTAAAAAAAGCAGTTTCGTTATACGATGACGAATATAAAAAATGACGACAAGGATAAATATGATATTTCATAGCTGCAAAATGGTCGGTAGAATTGATCTGAACTACCTAGAATTCGGCGTTATTTTGAACCATAAATCAAAACTTTCCATAGCCACCACTGACAACGGGTATAATGAGGTCCTAATCCTTTTTGATGATCTGTTTGTCTACAGTGCTGATGCAAGAAAGATCAAAAAAATGAATCTTACTGATCCGGCGGATGACGTTTCTCTAAAGGTATTCACTATGGTGTTGCGTTGTGCTTAATAGTGTGGAAGACCTCGAAATAGCCCTCTGAAAAGTCAATGTAGACGCAGAAACATTAGACGATATTTTGTTTAGTCACGATTGAATAGAACCCTCACAAGAAAAGCAGGAAAATCTACTAGCCTTCGAAATTATTGATATTACTTTCAAGAACTAGATAACTGGCATCTTTTCTTTTTTGAACACTTCGGGTAACAGTTTTACGGAAAATCCAATTACTGCATCCCAAACGAATTGAATATAGAGACATACTTAGATTATTTATATACTTTGATATACAGTTTCCGTTTATAGGATAGTGATTTTTCGACAGTTTAGACGTTTCGACTGCAAGTGTTCATATGTTGTTGTCCTCTGAGAATAGTTTACTTCATGCCTGAAAGAACGTTTTTTAAAGCCAAGTTAGCCGGTGTCATCCGTCTTAAACAGAAGTATCACATTTAAGTGGCCAGTCTCAGATAGTGAGATTTTGGTTTGAAGAACCGTATAACAAAAAGCCAATGTTATGTGGAAGAACTAGAAGCTTTTTGATCAGAGTTTTAAATCATATAATGATAAAATTGCTTATGATATGTCATGCTTTGTCAAAATGGTGAATTTTACAGGGACGTTCAAAAAGGTTTACTAGCAAAGAACAAATTACTTGTTAGTTGGTTTACGACTTTTTCATCAACTAGAAGACTATGATGGTAAACTGTGTATCAGGATTCTAGGTAAGACATCCGAATGTGTAACACCTAAACAGTGCTACCACGCGATTGGATTCGCAGTCATAACGGATGAGTCCACATGTATGATACACTATTTAAGTGAAACCTCTAACATTTTAAGCTCATATGCTACCAGCTATTATAATAATAATAATAATAATTTATTCTCAAATAACAAACATGTTACAAGAGACATGCCAATTTACAGGCAAGATCAAAATGTTAAGATTAGCAACATATTTTTTTTAAAACGGTATACAGTTACTGAAACATTTCACAAGATTCATTGTTTTCTTAAAGATGGAATGTACAAAGCGAGTAATTGGCGCAAGTTACGAAGGTTGCGTTACGACAATCATCTTATGGACTGAGAAACGATTCATATAACAAGAAGTGATGCGGTAAATGTACAAAGGTCTGGTTGATATTCGTCAGCTAATGATTTCACATGTTCTTGGGTAGGGTAACCAAGTCTACTGCAAATATCCAGACTAATATATGTGGATTGGAATAAGGTTCTGAAAAAAGAGGAATAAAGAAAACGGGACGTGGAGCAGAACAGAAAATATTCATGTTCAAAGCCGAACAATGGCTTTGCACAAACGTTTATGGATAAAACAAAGGTATGTTTACCCAAACATTTTAAATATCAGAACACATTACACCTGCGCTTATGTAGGTTAATGAAGACAATTCAGTAGTGAGAAAACTAATGAGAAGTTAGTTGAAAGAAT